TCTGGAAAAATCCAAGGTCTGCCTCCCTTTCGGCTCTTTCATTTCTTCTGAGCAGAAGGCTGTGGATAAAATCCTTCCTGGTCCACTTCCTGTGCGGTTGCAAGGAAGGTGCCTTCCGGTTTGACCACCGGCTGTCCGACGGCCTTCCTTTACTAAGGAGCACTTCCAAGAAATCAGCACCCCAGGATGCAAAACAGTGCAAAGCACCTCGGGGAGGGTCGAGGCTGAGCCCCGGGTCGCTTGGCAGGTCTGAGGACTGGGGGCCAGTCGGTGGGAGCCACATCCAGGCTCCCTGGCCGCTTTTTGATATAGTTCTACGGTAAAATCAATGGATGGATTTATTGAGTGCTTGGCAACTGATTGGGGAACAACTAAGTAGGTTGTCAGACTTGGCCCCAGCCCTTGGCCCCAGCCCAAGGCACAGGCCCTCCATCCTTGCGTGCGGGCGAGTAACCGAAAGGAGGTTTGTGGGGACACAGCCCGGGCATGGAGGTGAGACAGCGCCTGCCCCCACCGACCACGGCCCCCTCCTTCCAAGCCCAGGGCTGTGAGCAGACCACAAGGCAGCTCAGGGAGGTGTGCCGGCCCGAGAGCCAGGGCTGGTGAGGAGAGGAAGCGGAAATCTCAGACGCCGCAAGGTTTCTCATGATCCTAGGGACTTGTCCCTTCCATGAAACCCTCATGTATCTCTGAGCCGTCAGGGCGTTGGGCTCCAGGAGGGAGCACCGGGCTCGTGGGCTTGGAGAGGAAGAGGCCAAGGAGGGGCCCGAGGGGCCTTGGCTCCTGAAACCCATGAAACAGTGCCCACCCCACCCCCATCTGGTTTCACAAACAGGAAGTGGCTGAGTTGTGTTTGAGGTAGTCTTGACCAGGAGCCTCTTGTCCTCGAGAGCACTTTCCGTGGTTGGACAGAAAGCCGCAGGAGAGAGCAGAAGCCGCACCACAGACATCCTGCAGCGCATCAGAAAATACAGCCCGACTTGGGTGTGGACCTTCTGGAAGCTGGGCAGAGACCATCAGGAGCATTTTACGCTTTGCTTCTCTGGCCCTGGAAAGCCCCTTTGACGGGTGGGCTGCCCTTGAATGACCCCAGGAAGGCTGGACTGGGTATGATGTCCTGAAGCTGAATCTGCATCAGACCAGGGTGGGGGCGGGGGGGTGGGGGGGGGGGGGGGAGGATGTGGGTCAACCCAGCTGGTACCTGCCTGGAGCCCGAGGTGGGATGAGACCCCCGCCCCCTGCCCACTTCCGGGCATGAAAGGAAACGCCACCTAGTGGTGAGAATGAGGACAACGGGGCCTGGGTGGACGTCCGGCTGTGGCTTGAGCACCGCTCACATTGATTTCCCTGCTTTTCCACGACTCAGGGCCTCAAGCACATGTCACACAACTGAAAACTGTGTCTCGGGGCCAGATGGGAAGGGTCCCGATGGAGCCATCAGCCCACTGTGGAGTCCATCCGGTTCCCAAGGTATCTGGACCAGCCCACAGTGACTTACCAAAGGGGACAGCTGAGCAGTTAGTGGCCACCATCCCATGAGGAGTTGGGGGGGGGGGGGGGGGGGGCTTCGTTAGCCGGAAGCAGGTGGTCAGGGCATAACTGCCTTCCCCTCCTGGAGAAAAGTTCAAGGTCCTATAAACCTGTCCATTTTGACAGGACCCATATAAGAGAAAATACAGGAAAACATTAGGCGTAGGAGAACTAAGCACACCGATTTCTCCTTGACCTCGAGCTATCGTTCCCATTTTCCAGATAAGAAGAGCAAGACTCCAGAGAGATCAAATGATTATTCAGACGTGTCAGAGGTATCGAGGGCAGATTTAGGACCCTGCGTCTGCTGCTGTTTGGTTTTTGGGTGTTTTAAACATCACCCCTGCTTCAAAGCTCCTCACAGGGAAGAGGTTAGTACCATGTTGAACTTGTTAGCACTTAATGCCAGATAAGGGAAAAGCAAGCAAGCAAACACAAACCTCAGTGCTATTTGAACACCCTTTTACAAAACCAAGGAATGTCCTGAGCAATGACCATTGCTCTCCTCCTGGTATGATGATCCGGGGCCCTGAGGGAATCTGGAAGATTTAACGGCTTCCCAGGGCCCTAGCAGGTGTACGTAAAGTATTTAGTAGTAGAAGGTTGGCGCTTCAGAAAGGAGCCTGACTCAGGTTCCCAAGCGTTAGCCAACTGGAAGGACGGCTTTGCCGGGGACAGAGCCCAGCAGGTTAGCTGAGTAGTGGGTAATCCCCGGCCAGCCTCTGATGGCCACTGGCCTTGTCCACTCGCCCTGGAGTACATCAGGGAACCCATCACGGAGGGGAGGGAGAGGAAGAGACGGGGAGCAGATGTCATCAAGAAACTTCTCAGGAAGCCTCAAAGTGGGGATTCATTCACTGAGTGCCCTCAGTTGCATTCTGTACGGTATGTTTTGAAAAACAAGCGTATTTTGTTTCAGAACCGACATTGTGATAAAGACTTTAAGCCAGCGAACAGCCCTGGAATATTTCTCACCTTCCCCAGAAAGGAATAGCCTCTTAGGGGCCTGTGAACGGGCCATGGAGGTAGGAAAGAGGAGTGGCTGCTGGCCAGGGACTACCCACTTTGCTACAACCACAGTGAAACCTAGAACAGTCTGAGGACCTCGGCTGTGGCCACCTGGACAAGGTCGGGTCATACATATCTTTTCTGACCTCTGTAAGTCTCCATTAAAATGCCTTTGTGGCTCACAGTACAAATACAGATTATTTCTAATTTCATTACCAACCAAATCTCTGGTTTGACATTGCTCTCGTCGTTTTAAAGGAAGCCGTCCCTGTCCATTTTGTTTCTTGACATCTAAGTGAGGCAGGCAAAGCGAAAAAAGATCAAAGATCTTGGTTTCACGTACAAGCGCCCAGAGAACAAATGTTTACGTAAAAAGAAAATTGAGCACTCAGCATCAACCAAATGCTACAGCCAACTGGACAAGGGGATTTCTGTAAAATGTATATAAACGTCAAAGGAACACAGTCTGGCCGCGAATGCTCAGACCCAAAGGGTTCTTGATGAGTATCTGTACAGAACCTGCCGTGTTGTCTCCTCGCCTTCAGGTGGAGCCAGGAAGCCCAGCCCACACGCACGGCAGGTGGAAGGCTGGCTGCAGGGGACGGTGGCGGGGAAGCCACAGGTACACCAGAGCACTCTCTGAGCCGACAGTTTCCACTTCCTCCCCAACTTGACCAGTTACCAGAACTGCCCAAGAGTAGTCACCACGAATCCAGCCTTTCTGGAGTTTCCCTGCCCGACGTCAAAATGCCACTGTAAAGGGCAAAGAAGCAACGACGACCAGGCCAGCCCCACACCGCATCACTGCCGAAGAAGCCCAGTGTTGGGTCTGAGACAGGGCGACCCTTGGAAGGAATCGAAGCGTGTTTGGCCCACACTTCATCCCAGGGCGGGAGGATTCTCCAAAGTGCAGCTGTGAGCTGCACCTCATGAGTCGGGGGGTCTCCTGAGCGGGGTGGGGGGAGCGAGAGAAGGCATCAGAAAGGAAACTGGAACAAAAGACACATGACTGGCCCTCTCCTCTCCCGCCTGCCCTGAACCCAGAGGCAGCTGGCATCACCAGGGCGGAAACAGGGCAGAGAAGGGACGCCCCACGGCTCCCGGTCCCCACTGGTCCCTGTGGGTCCTGGCAGGTCTCTGGACTCCAATTCTCCACCTGTGAAACCTGTTCGCAAGCTTCCTCCAGCAGCCCTTCAGTGCCGAACCTTTTTGTGTGTCTCAGGTCCCCTATGGATGATCATCAAGGCATTACTAACATGTCCCGTCACCAAGTTCATATGAGTGGAGTCGTATGCCGTGCGAGTGACTGTGAGAGACTAACAAACGGGAAGAGGTTCACCAACAAGTTATTAGCAGTTATTTAGGTGGAGTGAAATTTTAGGCGATGGTTTTTCTTCCTTAGACTCTCTGACATCGTTTTAAAATATTGGGGCGCCTGGGTGGCGCAGTCGGTTAAGCGTCCGACTTCAGCCAGGTCACGATCTCGCGGTCCGGGAGTTCGAGACCCGCGTCAGGCTCTGGGCTGATGGCTCGGAGCCTGGAGCCTGTTTCCGATTCTGTGTCTCCCTCTCTCTCTGCCCCTGCCCCGTTCATGCTCTGTCTCTCTCTGTCTCAAAAATAAATAAACGTTGAAAAAAAAATTTTTAAAAAATAAATAAAAATAAAATATTAAAATAGGCATGTATCATTGTGTGACTACAAAAACAATCTTTTCATTCTGAAGAAACTTAAACTCCTATTTTGGGGGAGAGAAACAAGCTGTATATGACTATGAAAACTATCAGGGACAGACCAATTTTTTAACTGTTGAAGGAGGAATTGAACCCACATCTAATTTGCTTTGAAACTGGAAGCTCAAGGGGCGCGTGGGTGGCTCGGTCGGCTAAGCGGCTGACTTCGGCTCAGGTCATGGTCTCACGGTCCGTGAGTTCGAGCCCCGCGACGGGCTCTGTGCTGACAGCTCGGAGCCTGGAGCCTGCTTCAGATTCTGTGTCTCCCTCTCTCCCTGCCCCTCCCCTCTTCATGCTCTGTCTCTCTCTGTCTCAAAAATAAATAAATGTTTAAAAAAAAAAAAAAACTTAAAAGAAACTGGAAACTCAAAACCACATGCCCCAACATCGTGAGTTACAGTGTCCGCGAATGCCAAAGAAGTAAGTTAATGTCAACTGGACAACTGGTATGTGTCACAATAGATACTGGTATTATTCAGATACACAAGTGAGTTGACAAGTCACAAGGCCATGTATCATCTGGGTTGAGTGGATCTCACTACGATATGGTGTTATTAAAATATGGGCACGATGGCTATGGGAAGGAAAACAAAAGACCACTCACAAAGAATACATTCTTTTTTTTTTTTAATTTTTGTAAATGTTTATTTTTGAGAGAGAGACCGACAGAGAGTGAGTGGGGGAGGAGCAGAGAGAGGGGGAGACACAGAATCCGAAGCAGGCTCCAAGCTCCAAGCTGTCAGCATGGAGCCCGACCCGCGAACCGTGAGATCGTGACCTGAGCCGAAGTCGGACGCTCAACCGACCGGGAGCCACCCAGGCGCCCCACAAAGAATACATTCTCATCACAGCCTAGCTCGTACCACTGAGAAATAAGACAGCTTCACTTCATTCTTTTTGCAACATCTGAATATGCATGTTCAATCTCCTGGTCGGCTGGACACGTATTCATGAACTCGTCCCTAGCATAAGCATTGTTCAAGTATCTCCAGATGCCAGTCATTTCAGAAGGAAATTCAAAATCTCTGTATCTCTTGGCCACGATCTGAAAATCGAGAGGAAATAATCAGCAAAGGAAAAACCCACTAGTGTAGGCCATCAGATCAGACAATCCATTCTTTGGAGGTGTGTGATGTATTCTCTTTCTTGAGTCCTGACGCATTCTTCCTAAAGCCAGTCAGGTTACCCCAAATTACACGTCAACCTTGCATAGGGCATACGGGCGATGGGAAAGCTCATGAAATTACTGGGCTGAAAACAGAGACTCCACACAGCCCTGCCCACCAATTTATCCCAGATGAATTGGGATCCACTGGTCCGAATTTGGTCTCTACTCGGGTGGACTTCTCCTCGTGTTGCTGGCAGTTTTGACTTTGTGTGTTCTGCTTGCTGTGTTATTTGGTGCCCAAAGATTCGCGAAGACCTTCCCTTTAGGTTGTGCTGGGATCACCGTGAAATGCTCTCTTTTTCCTACTTGCTGAGCCTCACCTCCTGAAATCCCAGATATCTGCGCATATTATTTCTGCAGATTTCCATCATTCTGTCACTGAACACATCACCTCATTGTCAACAAATGGACACAAATCCTTGTCCTCCCGGAAATGGTAGACGTGAGGACAGGGCAATTGAGAGTGAGCATCATGGGAATGACAACAGTGGGGGATGCTTCCTCTGACTCCAGGGGCCCCGTTGGGGAATTCGCCACAAAGGAGGGTGATACTGTGGGAGACGCTATCAGTTAGCTGGGGCCACTGTGACAAAGTACTACAACCCGGGTGGCTTAGAACAACAGAAGCTTCTTCTCTCACGCTCCTGGAGACCAGAACTCCAAAATCAAGGAGTCAACAGGACACATTCCCTCCGGAAGTTCTAGGGAAAGGTCTCCTCTCTCCCAAGCTTCTGGTAGTTTCTCCCTCTGTGTGTCTCTGTGTCCAAATTACCTTTTTTTTTTTTTTTTTTTTTTTATAAGGACACCAGTCCTATTGGATAAGGGTCCCACTCTACTCCACTATGACCTCATCTTAAGGAATTACATCTCCGAAGATACCATTTCCAAATAAGGTTATGTCCTGAGGTGCTGGGGATTCGGACTTCAACATATGAATGGGGGTGGGGGAGGCGGTGCAATTCATCCCCGAACAGGAACCCAGAGCCACAAAGGCCTTTTCTGCGTTGTCTCCTGTTGCATTGGTCTCTGGGATGTGTGGCTGAACTGAACATGGGACTTCACACAAATTAGAAGACCTTGGGACCTGATTATGCAGATTTTGCAGGCTAGAAGCCACTGATGCAGCAAAACAAGACCAGATGCCTGTCAGAAACCCTCCTCAATCGTTTAATATCTTGCTTCAATTCAACTTTAGGGATATTAATGTTAAGAATTCCTTGGGGCGCCTGGGTGGCTCAGTCAGTTGAGCGTCCGACTTCGGCTCAGGTCATGATCTCGCGACCTGTGAGTTCGAGCCGCGTGTCGGGCCCTGTGCTGACAGCTCAGAACCTGGAGCCTGCTTCGGATTCTGTGCCTCCCTCTCTCTCTGCCCCTCCCCCCGCTCATGCTCTCTCTCTCTCTCTCTCTCTCTCTGTCTCTCTGTCAAAAATAAATAAACTTAAAAAAAATCTTTTTAAAAGGAATTCCTTTTATGTATTATTTTATTTATTACTCCTGGTTTATCTTTGCCTATTTTTTTTATTTTAACAGTTTTTTAACGTGTATTTGCTTATTTTGAGAGAGAGAGAGAGGGAGCATGCACACACACACACACACACACACACACACACACACGGGGGAGGGGCAGAGAGAGGGAGAGAGAGAATCCCGAGCAGGCTCCACACTGCCAGCACAGAGCCTGATGCCGGGCTGCATCTCATGAACTGTGAGATCACGACCTGAGCCAAAGCCCGGAGACAGAAGCTTAACCGACTGAGCCACCCAGGCGCTCCTAATTTTTAACATTTCTGAGAAAGTTTTTTTTAAAAACAATTTTTTTTTACATTTATTTTTGATAGAGAGAGACAGAGCACAAGTGGGGGAGGGGCAGAGAGAGAAGGAGACGCAGGATCCAGGCTCCGAGCTGTCAGCACAGAGCCTGACGCGGGGCTCGAACTCATGAACTGTGAGATCATGACCTGAGCCAAAGTCGGACGCTTAACCGACTGAGCCGCCCGGGCGCCCCTCTGAGCAAGTTTTTTAAGTGTCTGCCTCCTATAGAAGTGATCTTCTTTTTATGGTACATTTTCTGAATTTAATACTTCGTTTTCTGTCTTTCTGTGTTTGTGTATGTTTCTTTTTCTGGTAACTTCGAAGCTTATGGTCTGTTTTAACTCCTCCTGTGGTTTCCTATATAACTTTATCGATTTTTTTTTTTTTTTTAACGAGTTCAAGCCCCGCATCAGGCTCTATGCTGACAGCTCAGAGCCTGGAACCTGCTTCAGATTCTGTGTCTTCCTCTCTCTCTGCCCCTCCCCGACTTGTCCTCGGTCTCTCTCCCTACATAGCTTTAAATAACAGAGATTCTCTATTTCTTGACTTGTCAAGTTTAGATGATATCTACTCACTCCTGATTTTGACAAATAAGGAAATTAGTACAACTACAGTTTTTCCTCTTTCTTCTTCCTTATCTCCCTTCCATTGGTTGTAAAAACATCCAAGTTGACTATGTTCTGATTCTGTTCTGTAACTATTATAACATTGTTTGGTCTTAGTTCTGTCTTTGGATTTAAATAGGTTCTATGTTTATCACCAACCCTTTTAACCACCCACCTTCTCTGTTCCGGGGTTCTTACTTTCAGCATCATTTTATTACTATATTCATCATAAAGAAACTTTATTTTAAAAAGAAAAAAAAAAAAACCAGCCCAGGAGTACTTAATTTGTTAAGACCAGAAGCCCAGCTAAAAACAATTTACCTGGATAGGAAATTCTTACATCATGCATTCTTTCCTTTAAGTCTCTGTAACTATTAAACCACTGTTTTCTGGCTTTAATGTGGTCATGAAGACATAAGAGGCAAGTCTGAATTTCTTCCCCCTGGAGACGGCTTTACTATTTATTACTAATATTACTGGTATTATTCTTATTATGGTCTGGACACCCAGAGTGTCCTATCTGACCCCTAAAGTTCAGTAATTTATCAGGTATGTCATCGTGTGTTGATTATTCTGGACTATATTTTTCCAAACATGGCATGTTGCTTAAACTGAAGGTTCAGATCATCCTTTAGTTCAAAATAAATTTTCCCTTCTTCTTTTCTTTCCTTTCCTTTCCTTTTCTTTTCCCTTTCCTGTTCTCTGGCTCCTGATTATATACATCTGGGAAATTGCTGAGCATTTTTATCCCTGTGCTTGTCCATTCAATTTTGGAAACTGTTCTAGGGCTTACCCTCCAGACCCCTGGCAAATTTCTGCAATGTCTTGTTCTATGTCTCGCTTAAATGTACCTTATTTCTGAAGCTATTTTTTAAATTTCTTTAACATTTATTTATTTTTGAGAGACAGAGAGAAACAGAGCGCAAGCAGGGGAGGGGCAGAGAGAGAGGGAGACACAGAATCTGAAGCAGACTCCAGGGTCCGAGCGGTCAGCACAGAGCCTGACGCGGGGCTCAAACTCACGAACCTCGAGATCATGACCTGAGCTGAAGTCGGACGCTTAACTGACAGAGCCACCCAGGTGCCCCTGAAGTTACTTCATTTGTCTTTAAGGGTTTGGGTTTTTTTTCATGATTTCCATGTCCTCTGTGATATTATATATATTTTTTGATATCTTGTTCCTGTCTCTGAGCTTCTTCTCGAAAGATCCATGTTCTTTTTCATGTCTCAGAGGCCACAGAGAAGTATCTGACTCGAATGTATTCTCATCTACTGGAGCAGTGCTTCATCAGAAATGTGTTTCTCACCTGCCTTTTCCTTTTTCTGTGCCTTCTCTTTCTTTTTTTCCCCCCTCCCTCTTGATCATCTCTACCCACATAGAGGTCCCACTTGGATTCTTTCTGGTTATTAATCGTCTTTTAATGAGGCAGATCTACTGGAGTTAGCATTTCTTTTTTTTTTATGTTTATTTATTTTTGAGAGAGAGAGAGAAAGACAGAGCACGAGCGGGGGAGGGGCAGAGAGAGAGAGGGAGACGCAGAATCTGAAACAGGCTCCAGGCTCCAAGCCACCAGCACAGAGCCCCACGCGGGGCTCGAACTCATGGACCTCGAGATCGTGACCTGAGCCGAAGTCGGCTGCTCAACCGACTGAGCCATCCAGGCGCCCCCGGAGTTATCACTTCTTAAAAATACTGTGGAGGGCAAAGAGAGTGAGACAGGGTAGCTGCAAGACCAATTTGGATGTTTACCCTCAAACACTCTCTCACCAAACACTGCTCTATGCGCCGCTCCACAGACAAATTAGGGTTAGGGTCAAGGTCAGAGTCAAGGTTAGAGTTAGGACACCCTCCACTCCGAGGCTCTCAGATTAGGCAGGAGGTCACCACGGCTAAAAATAAAGCTCAGGAAATTTACAGTCCCTCTTTTGACGGGTTCCAGGACTGTTTCTTTCCTCTGCTCGGCAGCCAAAAGCACATTCCCTCTCTCCATCTCCTCTCCCTGTTCCTTCAGATTAGGGGATGGACGGCAGGACACAAAGATGACGCCTCTGCATGGTTCCTCCTTCAACTCTGCCTCCCCGGAGACCTCAGATGGAAAATGATCTGCGTGGGGCTGTTTCCTGCTTCTCTTCTCATGGCCCCGGTCCTCAAAGAAGCCTGGGTTGGGCATTTCAAGACTGTACTATTTACTTTTAGAGAAACCTGAACTTCACTAAAGATAGAGAGAAACCTGCCTCAGCCCTGTGACACCTCACACCGGACAACGTTTCTTAGTCTCTGAACTGGTATCCTGTCCTATTCCCGTTTTATGAAAGACGAAGCTTTGCTCTGTTTTTTTTCCTATTGCTTGTGTTGGGTTTTAAGAAGGAGAATCAATGAAAAATTCCTTTACTCTCTCATCTTTTATCATACATTCTTTTAGACGGAGTCTCATTTCCTTTCAGAAGGTATTCCATCCTGAAAGATTATTAAGCTATTTTGGTATTTGGGATGTCCAATGGCGTTGGAAGATTTGGCTCTCGGGTCAAATATTGGGCTGTTTTATTTGACTCTCAAGTTTACCCCCTTTTAGTTCTACCGAAATCTAAAATACTCTTTCCTCATGGGAGATGAACAAGTGGCAATCAGTGCTGAACGGTCGGAGCATCTCTCCTGCTTCCCCCAACCTCCACGTACCGCTGTGAGGCTACACTGGTCATGGCAATGACTACAACACGTTCGCTAAAGGGACTAAGCCAAAACACAACTATGTAAATATCTGGTTGGAAACTGGCTCCCAAATAGAGGAGGTTTTGACGAGTTGAGATGCTTTCGTTACATTTTAGATGCTGGGGACCCGGCAAAACTATTGAAAAAAACATTCGCTTGAGGGCTCAGCCACATCTTCAAGGCTTGGATTGCAAGTTGGTATCCCTCAAGCCCAACAAGGAAGAGAGAAGAAGGAAGAGAAATGGGACAAGAGTTGGGAAAGGAATCAGGAAGGAAGAAGAAAATACAGGAAGGAAAGGCAAGACAACCAGGGGCAGCTGGTAGCCTACAGGAGCATCAGCACCACAGATTATGGGATCCTCATTTGTGAGTTTCTAACTGGCAATTACATGAGTTATGAAATTACAGGGTCCTTGACTTGTATCCCCCTCTTGCCCATCTCCCCCATCTTTATACCGAGGACCCAGGTTTGAACTTGAGGGGATTTTAATCATCAAGATGCCCCCAGAACAAGGCTTGGGTTTCTTCCTGGGGCCTCTGAGGCTACGGAGGGTCAAGAACATTGCAGTGGTGATAATGATAATAACAACTGATGAGACGTGAAGGCTGGGGGCACTACTTAGAGACCACCATAACTCCAGAGGCCAGGGGTAGGGCCATCTACTTTGGAATCTCCGGGTCACCCCTAGAAGTTCTGATTTAGTAGACCAGAGGCTGGACTGGAGGATTTTCAATTCTAGAAAGCTCCCCAAATAATTCTTATGCCTACTAATGGTGGAGAACCACTGGTCTAGGGAGACTTTAAACCCTAACATATATGACCCACAATGCTGATTTCCTGTTCACCTATCTGGCAAGACAGGATGCCAAATCTAGCAGAGGCCCGGCCAAGGAGCTGCTCCCTAGCTGTAGGGGGGTGATATTAAGAGCTGAGAAGACACATCTCTGCCATCCCCAGACAGAACTGTTTCTATCACCAACAACTGAATTCACACTACAGTGCTCCCAGATTCCATGCATTGTCTCCAAACCTCGAGCATTAAATGCCAGGTATAATCAACGTTGCCCTCAAGTTGTTCTCATATTACTTTTCTTTAGGATGTGGGGGCTAGACTTGAAATGAGAAGCAGTGAGGATGGAGGGGTGGGGCCCAACTTCCCAGAAGTTTCTTGAGACTACCTAAAGCATATCTGAGAGTATCCATGTATCTGACGTCTGGGATTTGACCGCCTCAAACAGAAACCAACTGACTCTTTAATTCAGGAGTCTGCCTTTTAGATTGTTTCAATGTCTGGCCAAAATAAAATAAGGCCCCATTCATGTGTTCAGCAGCTACGGTAGGAGGAACGTCAAACCTTTATAATGTGGAGCTTGGGTAAGAGGTTACAGTCGGCTAACGTGAGCTCATCCCCATCCAGGAACTTCCTTCCAGAAACGACAACATCCTCAGTGCTGTAGGCATCTATTTCATCAGGCAGAGGGCTATTTAAGTAATCATCCAGCTTCTTCAAAGCCTTTAACAGGTTCTTTTCATAAACTAAAACAAAAAGGCCAGAAATGACCAAGATAAGCCAGCCGTATGAGTTAGTGTTACCTTTCTCTCGACGTGAAACGAGGAGTTGATCTCCTCTCCCTCCCGACACATGGCTGGGCCACACTGGGGAATTGGGAGGGAAGGATGTGGACTTCTAAGATCTGAATAAAGGACTCACTCCTCCCTGGAAAATACTTCTGCTGTCTACACAACACTGCTCCTTCTAGAACTCATCCGTTTATTCAAAACTTGTTATGGGAGGCCCATAATGAGGTAAGCAGTGGCAGAAGCTTCATTGAAACGGATTCCCGCGGTCCGGCAGGGCAATTCCTGTGATTCTTCCCCCCTAAGCTTATTGTTTTCTGGGCTCCCAACCTCCAGGGGAAGCATTTGACCTCTGGAAACGCACGTGCAGATTCTACGTCGAAGGTACTTTTTCCTGATTTCTAGACACAGGTCCCTACCCCCAGGGAAATCAGTCAGAATTCCCAGGACCTTAGACGAAGCCACGCCAGAGGCCGAGGGGCACCCCAGGTGGAGAGCATTGAACAGGAAGACGGCAGGTACTCACTCTCGTTGGCATCCTTCTTGGTGTTTTTTATAAATGCCGAGAATTTGGCAAACACGTCATTTCCTGCAGAGTTAGATTCAGGGTGTTGGGTCCCCAGCTTAGGGTACCTTGAAAAATTCAGAATTGGAATAGCACAGATAACGGGGGGACGGCAAACATGTCTTTCTCTGAGTGGATACAAAAGCGAAAAACCTTCCCCCTCGGATGGTTTTCTAATCTCTTCGTGTTCAAGGTGTGGCAGCCGCACAGTCTGGGGAGAAGGCCTTTGCTGTTCTCCCGGGACACGGCCGCCCACCCGCACCTCCAACTGTGCTAGAAGATTCCCTTCTAGATCCGGCGCCCCGCGACATCACACGCTAACGTGCACTCCTTCCCCTCCCAGCCGCAGACCTAAGAAGTGGCCAACCCACGCGACATCGGCCCGCCTCCTCTCCGCTTCCTGCTGCCAAACCCTAATTGCCCCACCGCAGGTGCAAACGAAGCAAAGAGACCCGGGCCACCGTCGCCCAAGGCTTCTGCTCTTGCTGCGTGTCCTGCGGCACACCGCGGCACGGCTAAGGAAGGACGGACGTACCACGGCTGCAGAAAACCAAATACACGAAGCCACGAGTTTCAGGCTTGTCTGCGAAGGGGCAAAGGGACGATCAGACGGTGAATGCTGGCTTTATGAGGCCTACCTCGGGGGAGCTAATTTCTCCTCTAAGAACTCCTCGATCTTATTCACATCCGTCTTGACTTCACCATCAAAAGTCATAAAGGGAGGGTTTGTTCCGGGGGCTAGGTTCTGCAGGTCTGCGGGTTTCCTGGTGGGGGGGGAGGGGGAGGGGAGCGGCAGCTTTTGTGAACGGTCGCCAAGGTTTGAATTCGTTCCCCCAAAGCCTAGCCGCGTCCTCCCCGGTTTACGAGGAGCAGCCCTTGAGAAGTTCAAGGGAGACCATGGGTTCCCAAGACGTCCTACCGACAGTGAAAGCGTGGCTCTTGTCTGGGCGCAGAGGTAAGAAAGCCAACTCTCTCCCCCGTGGGTCACAGGAGAGCTGCTCACACGGGCTTTGGAGAGGTGCTCAGCTGACCAGGAGCTTGGGGAGCAGGTTCCTTAAAGGTGCCCCCAACTCCTCCCTGGTTATGTCTGAGCGGGTCCTGTAATTACTGACGAGCCCACACCCGGGCTTCAGTTCGGGGCCCCGACGTGGATGGACACACCACGATGTCGCCTGTGGGCTCTAGGAGTGTGTGAGTGTGGGGCGTGTGTGGGGGTTATGGGAGCGTGGGGTGTGAGTGGGTGGGAAGACGTGTGCGGGGGGGAGGGGGGACGTGGCAGGGCCAGTCTCAACAACGTGGAAACCTCCTCTTACCTCTTCAGGTCCACTGTGGTCACGTTGAATATAACGCCCTTTAGCCAGAGAATCATGAAGAGGCGCTGGGAAAAGGGGCAATTTCCAATACTCTCGCCATCGTAGCCAGCCTAGGTGGGAAAAGAAATCGTTATCACAGCGAGGCTCACAATTCTAAGCGCCAGATTCCACAAGGCATGGCACAAACCCGTTACAAACTTGCGTTGGTGGCCACGACACTGCCACTACCCTTTCGGGGCCATTTCACTCAGCCTCTGAGCCAGTCGGCCACCCCCTCGGGGAGGGGGCAGGGGGCACACGAACAGGCTTCATGGAGCATTTCCTTCTTCCTTCCCGCCGCTCACCCCTTCCTGCCACACTGGGCCTCTGAGCAGCACGGTTCCCACAGGGAAGGACAGGCAGGCGGGAACTCTCCTTGTCACCAAAGGTGCAAAGGAAAGACGTGCTCTTTCCAGGATGCTCCAGCTTGGAAACACGCCAGCAGACTCTCCCCCCGAGACACCATCCCTCCTGGACACTGTCACACCTTGATGTCCCCTCCTCTGGCTCATGGGGTGGCAGAAACATGGGAAGCATTCGTACTGAGAAGGTGTTGAGGGTGGGGCGGCCGCTCCCCGGTGACCCAGAGCAGGTCACACCCACACACGCCTCTCCCACACACAGGCAGACACGTCTGGAACACACGTCCTCCTCCTCGTGGGCTTGTGGCCGAGAAGGAAGGCACGGGGGTTGGAGAAGACAGAGGAGACGCCCGGCTACCCAAGCCCTGGGAAACAGAGGGCTAGAAGCAAGGCCAACAAAGGAAGGTCGAAAACCCTTCTGTCTCCTGCCATCTTTCCCCACCAGGCCGCACGTCCCTGACCAGCTCGTGGCGCTAACAAAATCCTGCTGCAAAAGGCAAGGAGGTGGCTTCGCCGTACTCCTCACATCTCCAGACGGCAAGCACGGCACCCAGCCAGACCTCGGTGACACAGCCACGGTCAATCCGAGAGGCCCATCCCTGCCACGCGCAGTTAAGAGAAGGTGGAGGAGACCGCGCTGTGTCTGCAACCTGCGTCCCAGGAGGATTCGAGGCAGGAAGTGAGCTGCTGGCCTGGGGACTGAAGAAACGGAAAGAGAGACGCGAGAAGACCGGACCTTCGGAGAGGTGGGGTGCTTAAGTCACCCGGAGGGGTTGCTAATAACCACATGTCCCTAGAAATCAAGAGGGGAAGAGACCCCCAATTTTCAATCAAAGATCGGCCCCGTTACCAAAGACGAAACCCAAACGGGCCAATAAGCACATGAAAATGTTGCTAACATGTTTAGGCAACAGAGCGACGCAAAGCAAAGCCACGGAGGGACGGGGCCACACAAATGGCCAAAATGGGAACGGCCAAAATGAAAAGGTCTGACGCCACCAAGTGTGGACAAGGGTGCAGAGCAACTGACCCGCCATTCACTGCTGCCCAGAGTGCAAACAGCACAACTACCTTGGAGAAGTGTTTGGCACTAATCTCCCAACATTAAGTAAGCGTAAACGCGACGACCCAGCGATTCACGAGAGACACTCATAGGAATGTTCTTAGCAGCTTTGGTAGAACAGCCAAAACCTGAAAACAGGCCGGATGCCATCAAGAGTAGAACGAGTAAGGGCGCCTGGGTGGCTCAGTCGGTTAAGCGTCTGCCTGCGGCTCAGGTCACGATCTCGAAGTCCGTGAGTTGGGGCCGCGAGTCAGGGTCTGTGCTGACAGCTTGGAGCCTGGAGCCTGTTTCGGATTCTGCGTCTCCCTCTCTCTCTGCCCCTCCCCCGCTCTCTCGCTCTCTCTCTATCTCTCTCTCAAAAAAAAATAAACATTAATAAGTAAATAAAAGACAGAAATACTTTTTAAAAAGCACAGAAAAAAATAAAAGACAAAAATACTAAAATATATCTGTATACTACAACTTATCCATTCGTTGTAGATAAGCTGTAGTATATTCGTACAATAGGACGCTACATCACAACGGGGAAAATTCAGCTATTAGTATAAGCAACAATGTGAATGAATCCCATATACATAGTGTTGAGAGGAAGAAAGCCGACTCAAAGGAGCTCAGACACAGGCAAGCGTCTCTAGATGACGGGAGGGAGAAGAGCGGCTGTCCCTGGAGGGGACTCTCATCTGGGAGGGATAGGAGGGCGACTTCGCGGTGCCAGAAATGTCCTGCATCTTGAAGGCGGTGGTGGCTACACGGGTGTATTCAAGTGGCAGAGTCTTGTTTTCTTTTTCTTTTTTTAATTTACCTCCAAGTTAGTTAGCATATGGTGTGATAACGATTTCAGGAGTAGAATCCAAGGATTCATCCCTTACACGTAAAACCCAGTGCTCATTCCAACAAATGCCCTGCTTAATGCTCCTTACCCATTTGGCCCATCCCTCCACCCACGACCCCTCCAGCAACCCTCAGTTGGTTCTCTGCATTTAAGAGTCTCTTATGCTTTGTCCCCCTCCCTGTTTTTATGTTATTTTTGCTTCCTTTCCATTCTGTTCGTCTGTTTCGTATCTTAAATTCCACACATGAATGGAGTCATATGATATTTGTCTGCCTCTGGCTAATTTCTCTGAGCAGAATTTGTTGCAAACGGCAAGATTTCATTCTCTTTGATTTCACGTGGCGGAGTCTTAACATAGGGTTACTTGACTGCATGCGTTACTTCAATAGTTATTTTTCTTAAGTAAAAATATTAATTAAAAAAAATTGCAGAGAGTTGGAGTCAGTAAGTCTTGCCTGGGGCCCGGGAAAATATGAATTTCTAACAAGCTCGCCCAAGATGATGTCATGCTGGTGGCCAGGGATCCATGAAGGCAGACATCATGCCCGTAAAATGGCACCCACAGACTCAGAGCACTGAATTCAGAGTCCCCTAAGCTCCAAGCACTCTCTTCACACCTGTGCACCCCCTGCACTCCTCCAGGCATGTGCTGGCCTGTCCACCTATGAGGGAGAAGAGGCTGGGGACTCCCCCACCTGGAGCCTGAAGCTTCGGGAGCTGGAGGGGTGGTGAGGTGGCCGGTCAGGACACCCCCATCGAGTGGTCATTGCAAGTCCCCAGCAGGTGGGCCCTGAAACAGCACCCTGCTGGACCGCCTTCCCTGCCTCGGGGTCCCCCCCACCCCCCCACCCCCACCAAGGCCATTTTGAAGGCCAACCCAGCCCCTCCTCACTCTGTTCTGGAGCAAGACAAGCGAGCAGAGCTGCGTTACATAAACCCCCAGCGGCTCGCTGCAAGGACCTCTTAAATCATGGCGCTTTCTTTCTTCACCACTGCAGGTTTGGGCAGAATCAAGCCAACGGGGGGGCGGGGACATGAAATCACAAGGACACAGAGCCACATATTTTGGCCAGTCCTGACTCGCTGGCAGCTTCTAAACCTCTTATTTTTATAGTGGTTACAGTAAGCACAGTAAAGTCTAAGATAAGTTCTGTGGAGTGGGGTAACCGTCTCCTCTCTCTCTCTCCCTTGTCTCTCTAACCTCGGAGATCCTGTTATAACTCATCCTGAATGCGGCAAAATCCCTGCTGAGCCCGTGCGTCTCTGCCATCACTGGTGCGTGGACGCAGCTCACCTTGACAAAGAACTCCAAGTCTGGGAACAGGCCCGTCTGCACCAGGCTGCTTTCTACCGTGGCAGAATCCCATCGCCGGGGTCTCTGCCTAACTCGGTCTCTCTATTGTCCCCAGCTCAGGTCGGCGTTCCCCCCCCCCACCCCTGAAATTGTCCTTCCGGCCACCTCCTTCTTCAGGATGAGTAAAGGGATCAGAAGCGATAATACATTCTTTAAAAGTAAAACCTGGGGCGCCTGGGTGGCTCAGTCGGCTGAGCGTCCGACTTCGGCTCAGGTCATGATCTCGCGGTGCGTGAGTTCGAGCCCCGCGTCGGGCTCTGGGCTGATGGCTCAGAGCCTGGAGCCTGCTTCTGTGTCTCCCTCTCTGTCTGCCCCTCCCCCACTCATCTTCTCTCTCTCTCTCTCTCTCTCAAATAAAATTAAAACATCCAAAAACATCCAACATCTCAAATAAAAAAAACCTGCCTTTGTCACCTAGCTCTGCACACACAGAAACCTGGTAACAGGTTCCTTTCTAGAACTGCACAAACCTAAGAGAGACGGGGGGGTGGGCGGGGGGGGGGGGGGGGGGGGCAGCAGCCGGCAGGCCACGGGGCCCAGAGCTTGGAAGGCAGTGAGGAAAGCCACAAGTGCACTCTGCCCCACCCCACCCCCGTGTGACCTCCAAACAGGACTGTCACAAGCCAGCACAGCTAGTGAACTGGAAGCTGCCAGTTGTTTCTGAGAATCAGCCAGCTGCCAACACAGGATTTACATAGGCAGGGGTGTCTCATCTTAAATAGCTCTGAAAACACTTCCCTGTCTCGGTCTGTCGTAAATGAAGGGGGTCATGGGAACGTGGTGGGAGTTCCCAAGATGCCTTGCTGCCTGACTTGATTACTTTAATGTGCTTCAGTGCTGGGACGCGCCAGCCAAAATCAAGGCGGAGATAGGCCATCTTCACAGCCCGGGATTGAGCAACACTGGGAGGAACACTGGGTCGTCTTGTCCATGTTCATTAACCAGACGCGATGATGGGATAAATCCTCATACGGTAGGAGTGAATAACTGACGGTCACCGTAATTGGGACGTGTTACGGTATAAAGTTCTACTTTCCGTTGCTGATAATTCTCTCGGGCTAATTACACTCTGGGCAAAAAAATGTCTCAGCAGGGTTTCTCGGCCCGCAGGGGGAGATTCTTGTACGTATACGTTGCTGATAAAAATCAGGTGAAGCAGCTTGAGAGATTGGAGTGTCTTGTTTCCAGGGAAGACCCAGGCACCCGGACAACCCAGGATGGCACATCTGTCTTTCAAACGCGACTTTCCTGAGCACCTGTGACGGGAATTCTCGAAAGGAAGACATTAATGCCACTGACACATGCCGAGAAGTTCCCGTGGCCTTGAGAATTTCTGTAATTCTGCAAGGTCCTGGCCTGCGCCCGCCTCCCTGGCACAGAGCCCCTCCGGGCTTGAGGCGGAAGGGTCCAGATGACACTCAAAATCCCTCCTCACCTCAGGCCTCTTCAAATTAGAACCT